ATGGCCACCTCTCGCGTCGTGTTTCCGGCGCGCGAATCTGTTTACCGACTCTATTTACGAGGTTGGGCAACCGTGTAAACCATCCTGCTAATAGAATATGCCCATATTCTGGCCCCGTAGGAAGCATAAGGGTTCAGACCCCGTAACGAGTAACCCCGGCTTCGCTTCGCCACGTTATCGCGATTTTCCCCCGGTGCACATCGGTAGCTCACAGGGCCGAGTCCAACTTTGCACAACGAAAGCCACGGCTATCCAGTGAAATCTGCCCGCTCCCGGTCGAAACTGTTGAGTTATTTAACAGTTCTGGGACGATTATTGAAACGAACCCCCGAACTCGAATCGCAGCTTGATTTGTGTGCAATGGAATGCTTGCGTTGCAGTTAAATTCTATGATTATGACCGTCCGGACACGAGATAATACTTCACGGATTAATTTCGATGGTTGACTAATCGCAAATAATCAGCCACTGCGTGCAAGCAATATTTTATTCACTATTTAGACCTCCAATCACTGTTCTCGATTAGACAATGATGTAAAACAATACAACAAAGCGAATTTTCTATGCAGTAGCGTTATACAGGAACAATTATCACTAAAATTTCATGTGTGCTTTCACAGAGAAAAGTGAATTCTCTGGCTCAAAGCCGTGAATCACGACAAAAAGAGGAACGGATTAGGAAACTGGAAAATAAACCTGATACTCGTGTTCGATGGCTAAAACACGACTGATTTAATTATCTCCGGTTCAATTTACTCAGCCGTTAATTTGAATACAATCGACTAACGCGTCGCGTGATGGCACCAGTTTCACTAATGTTGTTCGAATATTATATCTCTGTTGCTCGTTGAAGAAGCATCGAGCCGAGAATTCATTGTTACGACCGTTGATCGTGTATCGATGCATCGAGATTTGCCGGTAAAACGAGATGTGGAGATTCTTCTCCGAATGGGAAGAAGACTGCAAAAAGAGAAAGATAGCGCCGGCAATCGTATAAATATCGAAGCTCGGGCGTAGGCCCGGGGGGACAGGGGTGAATCGCGACGGTCCAACGCTAGGGAGGAAACGGTTGAAAAGGAACGGATCCTTGCGCGGTGCTCGGAGCGAATTCAATGCCGAAATCGGCGATACGATCCACTAGGAGGAAAGAATCGACGTTCCAGAGGCAACTACCAGCACGAATGGAAACTACAAGAACCGCTCGGAAAACTCTGTCATGAAACAAGAAGTGGATAACAATGGGACATTCTGTGTAGGCGTGCTCGTCCGGTCGTGCTCGCAGGCATTCGCCGTGAAACTACCTACCCGTTGAAAGGGCGAAAAGAAGGAGCGCGTGCACTAAAGTAAATTCGATCGTTAGTTCCGAGTAGTTTATTCAAGGAGCGAAACTTCAACCAATCAGATTATATTATTGCAAGAAGAAAAAAGCAAGTCTGATCTCGCCTGGCTGTTTTCGTCAATCTAAGGGAAACGATATATATTTATTTGCAGACTGACAAACTGAAATTCAAACACTTAGTTTAATAACATATCTGATAATTTCGTTCATAACATGAGTACAAGTTGAAGTATCTAAGTGCACCTGAAACCTTTGTAAAAACTTAATATTCTTAAAGTAAACCAGTCTAATTTTTATGCTCTGAATCTTATGTTGAAAGAAAGTTTAACCAAATATTAAACTTCACAGCTCTTCGCTTCATTCTATTTTCAAAGGATAAACTTTGGATTATTCCCAAAGTATGATCTTTAGTCTAATCCATAATCTAATTTCACTCTGGGTCAGACACGAACAGATGGCCAGCTATCCCCTTTCCGCTTGAATTCACATTTCTCTTATGCAGAGCAAACCTTTTAAAATGGACATTATATTCAAACGTTTTCGAAATTCATTATAATATACTTGTTGCTACATTACTAAGCTGTGACGTAACGATCGCATAGCTAGTCATGTTGTCAGTGATTCAATTACTATTCCTTATGTCCCTGTGATACGTTTCATTGAAATTACAAGGTACAGTTGACCGATTGAAGGAAGCGACGAATTGGAGACTTCGCTTTACGTGTCCGCGAGGGTTGCCTATGTCGACCGGTGTTACACCATAATTTCACTAAAGTTTTTTTCCCATTTCCCGGGGCAATACGGAAGGCTTCCCGTCGTTCCTTTAATCGCCTCAGGCCAGTTCCAGGTTTTCCCCTTGTTGTTTTTTTTTTTTTTTTCTTTCCCTTCCGTTTGGTCTTCCGTGTTCATTTCTGTGGGACGACTCTAAATTCACGGACGTAGTAAACGATAGGAGCGGGTCGAAAGGTATCGCTGGCAGTGCTTTCGGCCAACTTGGAATCTAAGGAGCAGATCAAATAACTGAACGTACGTGCCGTGACTGGAAGGTACGAAATTTGGAGGATCACCAAACGGCAGAGATTGCGGCGGAGCCGTGGAAACGTTTGTTTAAAAACTGAGTTTTTTGTTTAACGCCGGTGAAGGAAAAATCAGGGACAGCTGTCGTCAAGTAAAACATTGTTCACATTTTTCTGACCGTAACGTCGTTGTGTCGCGGTTGAATCGACGAGATTCATACGCGCGGTTCGTGTATACGCGCACAGCGCGCGCACATAAATTCGAATTTGAATAAATTTGAATAAACGCACGCCAAGAGACGCGTACGGAATATTTCCGCGTATCGTCTCGAGACATTTTTACGCTCGTTTATAACCGGAACTTTGAATTTCGCAAATCAAGCATCGCGTCCTGCGTATCCGCAGAAAATGTGGTGTATTTATTTGTTTGCTGTGAAGTCAGAAACGCTGAAAGAATGGCAGGAGGCGCGGTAGGGATAGGGATGGTACACTGAAATTTCTGGAATCCTTAAAACATCTCCACGACCGACTCGTACATCAAAGCCTGATATATCGGCAATCTTCCCTGGCATCGCCTGGCAGAGGAATCCGATCGATAGCTACAGCGTTTTGGTCCATTTACGCTTGTGCAGCGCGAAATTTCTCCTGGCGATGCTCGATGGCGCGTTCCATCGACATTCGTTTTTACCGGACGCTTACAGGTATCCCATTTCGTCGGTTCGGCACGGGGCACTGTATTTAAATCGATTCGTTCGTCAGTAACGAACGACCGTGACCGTGGCAGCGAGCGTGAGGCCCATGACGTCAAATTAATTTCACGAAAACTCGTCGACGCTTCGTTATTGGCTGTCAATCCCTTTGACCATAGCCTTTCTTTCGAAGGCATGCACACCTATCGATATCGTCTGGATACGTCGGCCGATTTCCACGATTTCACTTGTATCTCGTAACAATTTCTCTGTCTGCCCGAACGGAATCCCATTTTACCCTCGGAATACAGTGAGAAATTTTATCGAGTACCGTCGCCGTCCGCGTTGCAACGTTCGACCGAACCCTTCTCGACCCTCACTCGACGCATCCACTTTCCCACCCACTCTCGCAGGATTATGTTAATGGCGACTCTCACATTTCCGCGATAGGAAAAATCCGAGTTAATGGGAAAACCAGTGATATTCATATAAATTAACTACAAATTTATACGAATCGCTTGCTAGGTAATAAATACTATTATTGCCGAACTATTTTTGAAAAAGTTTAATTTTTTCTCGTTTAATTGATAAGCAAAAAATTTGTATCTTTCATGTCAGAGACATTATTCTCTTATAAAAAAAAAAAAATGTTTTACTCTTTCTCATTAGACTCGGAGAAGACAGCGTGATTCATTTCATTGTTTGTTCACAAATGTGACGAAGCAAATATGAACCGTGGCCACTTCATATTTCAATGATAAATACGAGGGGGAAAAGATGGGTTAGTAATTACTATTTGGAATTAATGTCATCGTTTATTTAATCCGAGGCGGGCAACGAGCTTTGATTCGCGTTGAAATCACATTAATCCGACGCATAATGAAGCGGCCGGCGAAATAAATGTCATCATAATGTGGAAGCATAAATAACGTTGATCGGAAAACAAGTGACAAAACAAGTATCATTGTAGCGTAATAATTGAATTTCCACGGTAAACTATTTTCATCGGCATTTGCTATACGCACATCGTTAAATTGTAATATCTTTCCCCGTTTCGCTGTGTTCCGCTCTATTCGTAGGTGAATGAAAGTTGCGGTGAAAACGGGAAGCCGCCTGCCACGGCGTAAGCGTGCCACGCGAGAAGCTTGACATTCTCGAAATTATTAGTTGGTAAACTATTTGCATGATCGGTTGATCAAAGAAGACGTTGAGTTTATAGAGGCTGGATAGGATTAATACGGTATGGTAGGATTAACCATGCTATAACGTGACACCGTTACGATTATCCTCGATTAACAGTATTGACATTTTTACACGTATGTGGCAATGGCCTTGATTTGACGATTAAGAGTCTTTGTGCAGTCCTCGAGTCAAAGAGTCGAGTGAACAAACAATATTTTGCAGGCACGAATTCCTTTTTGTTCTTGAAGGTTTAAGACACTTCGTCAATTAGCGTCTCCATTTTTGGTTCTTTCTAATTTTTAGTATCTGACCGTCATAGAAGCTAGACGTAGCTCCGTGTTTCTTACAATGTTTGAAACTTTATTATATCTTAAATACTATTTAGTATGTATTTTTATTATAAAAGACATGTATTAATATCATAAATAAAATAAAAATAATAATATTAAGTTATAAATAAATAACATAGCAATAATACGAAAAATAATTTTAAAATCTGATGGAAAATTTAAGTTAGTAGAATATTTGCGTTTCTTGCTTGAAAGTAATTGAATACAATAAAATATAAATAACATTTGGAACCGTACAAAGAGGCCGCACGTTCTCCACCTCTGCTATAGACATGCCAGAAGCATACATGGGACAAAGAATTTTATAACGAGATAAACAATGCAATTTGGAAACAATCAGTGATGAATAAGTAGGGACTCGGTAGGAGAAAGATAAATTCATGGAAAAACAATTTCTTTAATGGTGTTTTCCGTACTCCTTCCAGGTGGCTCGAGCCTGGCAAGCGTGGTCGCTGGAAGTAAATCGACGAATCCTTTGAACAAACCAGTTTTCGACGACATCGGCTTGCGAAATGTCACTGCCATCGTTGGACAACCGGCGGAATTGAATTGCTACGTGAAGAATCCTGGGGACAGAGTGGTGAGTGATGAGTCATTCTTCGAAATAATCCGGGATGAAAAACGTATTAAGTGGTAGATCAATCACCGTGACGCATCTACACTATTATTTTCGTGCATAAATAGACCCTAATAGTATTCGTTTTGATATGCTCCCGCAAATATCGTAAAGCGATTAGGAGAAACCTCATACACACAATTAGCGATATTCCATTAATGGATCAACTACTAATTAATGCTCGCGCTACGCTTGGATGGGTTTATCTAATTTCATTTCTATTCCACGTAATTCACGCGCCAGTAACGTTCGCAATTATATCAATGAAAGTACAAATAATTGTAGGTGAGGCAATATAAAGGTTCAGCGGGTAATCGCGACATTTTAATGAGCCGGTGTCAATGATTTCTGGCTCATTTTCATTAAACGTTCAGGAACCAGCAATTAAAAGCGATGAGTACAGCGGAGCTGAACAGAAATATTCGTATAATCGTGAGCATTTGTGCATTAGCATACACATAAACCGAATCGATGTGGTTAATGACTAGTTTTCCGTTTTGGACCCGCGTGTAACGTTTTGCTGTGCTTTCCGACAAACAACGTACATATTCTCTGTTCAATGAACATGTTCGCCTGTGTGTGTCAATAGCACCGTGTCCGCTTTTACCCTGTGCCGCCCAGGCGGTGTCTTTAATTGCTAGATAGGAGAGTCGAGCAGCGGAAGAACCGAGTACAGGTTAGACTAGGAATGCTAAGGGCGGCCACGGGGTGACTGCACTCTCACCACCGGACAAATGAACCGATCTAGCATACTCTGCCAAGTGGTTACAGAGTTGAGCCAATCCCTCTTTCTCATACTAATACTCAGTTCTCTGTACATGTACATGAGATGAAATCGTGCGTAGTCTAAATATAAACAGATACACATAAGCGTATAGAGACGCGTACAATAAATAAAGATCAAGCAGCAAATATTGGCTGCTAACATTATTTTATTATCTCTAAACCAGTGATTCTCAACCGTCGCGGCAATTTAATGTGCCGCGAGATTCTTGGAGTGAGCCATCACTGCCAAGCAGTGATCCCTCCCGAAATGAAAATTATTTAGTTTCTTACATTTCTTTATCAATTGACACTACATTCAAT